CTCTCTCTCTCTCTCTCTCTCTCTCTCTCTCTCCCTCCCCCCCTCTGTCTCTGTCTCTCTCTCTCTCGCTATAGAGGGAGGGGAGTTGATCTAACAAGAGAGTGTTACAGTCCTCAGCCATGATGGGTGAAGCAAGGGCACGATCTGTAAAAGGGCAGTCACACTGGTCTGTTCTGTCCAGGGATTCCAAGACAGAACAGGATGCTTCCCAAGCTATTATGGAATCTAAAATGAAAATCCCTGCTGCATCAGTATTTCATCCCTAGCCAGACCAGAAAAGATATTACTGAAACAAAAACTATTATGTAATTACTGGTAAACTCAATTATTAACCCATTCACGCGGGTATATTTTGAAGCCGAAAATAAAGATTCCGAGCAGCTACAAAATTGTTGGGCGGGGCTGCCCTGGACTCCGCCCGCTGGCGTGCCGTGGCCCGCTGCTGCGCCGGAGCGTGAGCCCTGTGACAGCGTCACACTGGCTATGTTTATTTTTTTGGGTGTCTCATATGTGGGACACCCGTTGTTAGTGGGTTAAGATCTATTTTTCTTTCAACAATAAAGGCCGCAGTGTCGGTCACTATCTCCACAGAGTAGCCATAGCCATCTCCAGCAGACTCCAGCCCTTGGTAGTAGAGGTTACTCTAGTTGATGAGTGTATAATGGTAATGAGACTGAAGCTAATATTTGGCTTCTTGTCTCTTATTGCTGTGTACGCTCCTACTGATGTGTGTAAACTTGACATGGAAGAGATGTTCTACACCAAATTAGCATCTGTATCAGACAGATGACCCCGGCGAGATATTCATATTGTTCTGGGTGACTTCAATGTGGTATCTGGCTGTGATTGAGCTTGCTATGAGATGTCTGTTGGTCCTCGTGGTTCAGGAGCTAATGCCAGCAGTGAGAATAGCCTCCTTTTCCGGGACTTTGATAGGTCCCAGAAATTGAGGATTTCTGGCTCCTGGTAACAGCACCTAGATCCACGTTATTGGACGTGGTACAGCGATGTGGGTAATGCAGCCAAGGAGATCGACCATATACTCATTAGGACTCGTTGGAGGATCCTACAGAACTGCAGGGGTATAGGAGTGCTGCTTATGGCCTACATCGACCTCAAGAAGGCGTTTGATACGGTGCATCGGGAATCATTCTGTATCCTTGAGACTAAGAGGAATTCCATCAAGGATCATTGGACTAATAGCAAGTCTGTATACTGGTACAGAAAGTGCTGTAAAGTGTGGTGGGCACCAGTCGAGCTTCTTTCGTGTTAGTTTAGGAGTGAGGCATGGCTGTGTCCTTACACCAACACTTTTCAACACTTGCACGGACTGGATACTGGGCAGAGCTACTATTCAGAGTCATTGTGGAGCAACTCTTGGCAATATCAAGGTTACTGACCTTGACTTTGCTGATGATGCTATTCTATCTTGGAATCCATAGTGGTGGCTCTAGATGTATTTAGTAATGAAGTGAAGGTCCAGGACTTTGGGGACTTGCTAGGAGAACCTGTGTGGTTGGGACGTGCTTGCGGCAAGGACATGGAAGTCACAGAGAGTTTTACATACCTTGGTAGTGTAGTTCATAACTCTGGGCTGTTAGACCAGGAAGTCAGCTGATGGATTGGCCTGGCAGACAAGAGTATTTTGAGATGCCGGTACCTGTGCAAAAGGACCAAGCTATGCATCTTCAAGGCCTTAATAATGGCAGTTTTGCAGTACAGTAGTGAAACCTGGACATTATCCTGTGCCTTGGAGTCGCGTCTTGATGACTTTTGTAATAGGTCCTTGCGACAGATCATGGGGTACTGTTTCCGGGACCAGGTGTTAAACCAATGGTTCCACCGTGAGACTGGCACAGGACCTGTTACCTGCACAATCTGTGATTGCCAACTCAAGCTATACAGCCACCTGGCTCGCTTTCCTCAAGATGATCCTGCCCACCAGGTTGTCTCTGTTTGAGGTGGAGGAGGCCTGTGGAACGACCTAGGAAGTTGTGGCTTAGGCAGATTGATCAAACCTGTTGTGAGGATCTCAAGATGGGCCGCGTTCCTGCCTGGCGGTTTGCCATGAGGAACCCTCATAGGTACAAACAAAGGATGGATGTGGCTGTGCGCCCCTGTCGGCGTTAACTCCATGATGATGATGATGATGAACAATGATGTCTCATTAAATATTTAATGATAAAGTAGATAAACATTCATTTGACCATTCAGCATGAACATTGACCCAGTCCGACACGCCAAAGACATGGAGGTCTCTCCAGAAGTTATTTACACCTTGTTGGATGCAGTGAGAACCAAATAGCTGTTGTAGAACACCAGTAGTAAGGATTATTAAAGCATGAATTTGAAAAGAACATTAATGAATGAAATAAGTAAGGAACTTTGTTATGAACATTGTGAACGCTGGACTGAGATGATGGTTCTCTACGAGGGGGTAGTGTGACAATCGCACTGACCAGACTTCAGTGAGGCTGTTTAGGGATTCCAGGACAGAGAAGAATAGATTGACTGTCGCATAAGCACTCCTAATTGTAGATCTATCCTATGTAAAGAGAGAAGGCAACATGGAGTAGTTATGGGTCCCCCACCACACAGGATTTCACCATAACTGTTCAGACTTGGAGAGGAATACAGCACAGAGTAGACTTTTACCTATCTGCCATTTGTAGGGATGCACCATAACAATCAGGCTTAGAGACCATAACAGTAGCATGAAACCAACTAGCTTTTAGAGGGCAAGGGCTGCACCAGCATAGAGTATATGTGAGCCATGCTGCTTAAGCTAGTGGCTTGTCAAACTACATTGCACAGCAATTGTTGTATTTGTCCTGAGCATTCCGATAATGTAATCTTTGCAATAATCTTGAACCGTCTCCCTGAACATAGGAGGAACTGTTAAATTTTAAGAATTTGTTAAAACCATATATTATGTCATCTTGATAAGAGTAACTATCTCCATCAAATGTTCATTCAAATACCTGTTCATATTATTCTTTTGTATGTACTTCTTGTTTTTGTGCTGTGATTGCCTTGACTTATGTACAGTATAATTTTGTAAATGATTGTCATCATGTTTTTGTGTAAGTCATACCTCTACACATGTCAGGGGGGTAAGTTTTGGATTTAGTATAATTTTTTTAAATTATTATTTATGACAAGTTAGAATTGAAGTTGATATGTGAACAGATATCCCCAATTATCATAGTCTCTTTTCCACAGAACCTATTGATCAAGTGAATGTGACCGGCAAGAAATGGCTGAAACATGGTGAACTCCTGAATTTGACTATACAGTGTTCAGGATCTGGCCCATGGGGCTACTGCCATAAGGTCTTCTATGGGACATATAATATAACTGGTAAGGCATTATCAGATGTAAAACTAGAGAACACTGAAATTACTACACAAATAACTGTATAAAGATTTATAAGTTTAGATTTAAAGTGACCATCACTGATGACAAGGTAGTAGAGGGGTCATTTATAATTAGGTAGCATACAGTATTATACATGAATTGAGGAAACTTCGAAGTGCCTTTCAGAGCCAACTCTGGTTATTTTGTGAGTAAAAAGGGCATAACAGTCAACAGTTAAATTGCTGATGTGTGTGATTTGTGCCAGATACACCTGCATGGACTCTTGCTTGTTGCAAACAATCAGATGGCATTTTATAATGACATTATGCATAGATATGAGTTCTTGCTTGTCCAAAGGACCAATATCAAAAAGGTTGAAAATCACAATGACTTATAATGAAATATTTAGTGAAATATTTCTTTTAAAATGGAAATTTTGGGTACATTTACACATGGCGTGTGCTTTGCATCAACACTCCCTTGTAATGTGCTGTAGCTTATACAGTTACCATTATGTGTACTGAGTGCAATATGCATATATCAAAAATTAAGGGCAAATTATGATAATTAGATTTCAGTTTGGTCTTTCTCTGAAAATTCATTGGATTTGAAATTGATTGTTTCTATTGTAAAGAGCACTTTTATAAAAAGATTATGTAGAAGGTAGCATTTCCAATTTTGGAAAAATAAGTGAGATTTAGCTTATTTTATGTAGAAAATGTTAGTTGACAATGATACCTGCTTTGAAATAAATACATGGAATTTTGAAAATTGTTCTTTTGCATTGTCTTCATAAAGAGTTGTATTTCTGGTAAAATTAAAAGTTTTGGGTGCTACCAAAGGATATAGGGGCAGTAAGTGCATTGACAGCACACCCCACCATTGCATCCAATGGTCTTTATTCAATTATTTGTAAATATGATGTAGTACAAACCTTCATGGGACACTGCATATCCAATGGCCATGCTTTGAATTTATTAGAAGAAGCGATTATTCTCTGCGAGGGTTAAGATTGAAACAGTTAACTTTTGCTGTGTGTTTATATAGATATATAACTCCTTGCAATTTATAACCCCCCTGTGACTAGCCCCTTGCCCCCCCCTCCCTTTTGAGCTTGAGTAAGTTCCAACGGCTGCACTCAGTTACACATGCCATTTGTTTTACATGTTTGCTTCTATAATTCTCAGTATTAAATGGTTATGGTATACTCATGCAAAATTATATGATTACAGTATATTTGTACTGGAATTGCCATCCACAATCTTCCATTCTTTTAATATCTGATTATAAAGAAAGAGAAGTTTTCTTTAAAGCATATATGAAATATTTCAGGTAGGTGAATTTTTTGTAGAGTTTAATTAACTAAAGAATATTTTTAATGTTATTCTGAAAAAAATATGATCTGGACAAAATAAAGTAAATTACATTTACTCTTGGGGGGCTGTAAGGTAGCCTATGGTGTAGTGGGGTAAAAATGATCTTCAAGAAGTGAAGTTCTATACTCTACAACATGGAAAATATCTGTTTGTTCAAAACTTTGTCTTTCTATAATCATCTTTGAATGATCAAATGACCTAAGTAATGCAGACATTGCCAAGGTTGGTCTAATTAAATTTAGATGCATAGATGTAATCATATAACATTATATAGATATCAAACAGTGGGATCTGTAGAGAGATATAAGTAGATAATAGTAGTCAGATATATTTGCATATTAATCATATGTGTTATATAATAAAAGCCATCACATCATGAACATATAAATTGTTTTTTATTTTTATGACAAATATATGTTTTTCCTCAGGCAATGAGACTTGTAGTGATCCACTGATGACTAATGACTGCAACTTCGTAGCCATTCATTACTTCAGAGAAGCAGGAACATACACATATCTTGTGGTCATCGAAAATGAAATCTCTCATGAAATACTGCCTTTAGCCATTAATGTGTATAATGGTAAGTGGCATCAAAGAAAATAATTTGTAATATTTTATAGTATAGAACAGTGGTCTCCCCAACCTTTTTCCACTTGCAAATAAGAGAGAGAGAGAGAGAGAGAGAGAGAGAGAGAGAGAAATAAGAGAGAGAGAGAGAGAGAGCGAAATAAGAGAGAGAGAGAGAGAGCGAAATAAGAGAGAG